GCAGACCCTCAGGCTCATGCGTCTAATGAAAATACAAATGAGCGCTTATTGAACGGAGGTGACACTAACATCTGAATGACAGCGTAGGTGGTGAAACTGAGTTTGTAGCTTTGGTTATTTGAATATTAATAATCAGGCAGAGCCCTCAGGTATGCATCAGCATGCAGGAAATTATCATCTTACACAATACACATGTGTGCAGAAACACCTTCCAGGCAGCTGCATGCGTGATCGGGAAACAGCAACATGATGTCTTTGCTCCTGCTGTTGTCAAGTTTATTGAAAACGCAGAACAGTAACAGCACAGCCCGACCTGCTGCCCAACCACAGGCATAAAAACAGCACAAAGAGATGTTAAACTGCACAAAAAAAGACAGCAAGGGCTCACAAAGAGATGCAGGACTCCTCGAAAGAAAAGTAAAAGGATCAGAAAGATGAAGAATTATTAAAAAATGATCAAAAACACACAAAAGTGCAACAAGCAGATCAGATCGGCCACGGGGAGGAATACAAGCAGTTCGTTCTTGACTGAAATGACTCGTCCTCTTTCCTAAAGGAGACAACGAAGGAAAATAACACAAATAAAAAAGCAAAAAATAAAAATAAACACTGCAAAACTTCCAAAACAACCCAAACAGGCATAAAACCACCAGGAGGAAATATGACAAATAAAACCGTTAAAGAGGAAAAACCCGCTTAAGGCCCATGTGGGGTTGGAGGTCGTGTGCAGGAAAGACAGAGCCGAGGCCTCGCTGCCTCGACCATCAGACTCGTGTGTGTTTGCCGTTCTCGTCTCTTTCTGGTCACTTCAGTGTGAAAGTTTCACAGGTTGGACGATGAAAACGAGGCGAGGGGATAAAAGAGCGCGAAGGAGCCGAGACGTCAGCTCGCGTGTTACTCAAAGTGAAAACAAAGACGCTTCTCTGTGACGTCTCGCCTTCTGAGGAGATGACTAAGTGACCGCTTCCTGTTTGCTGTGGAGCTTTTAACGTCCCGCTGAAGGTCAGAGGCGTCGCGTGCAGGCTGTAAAATCACCGAGGTGGAGACCAGCAGAGAGGGAGGATGACGTGAACGTTTTCTTTTTTGGGTCATTTTCATGTGCTGAGCTCCACACTGACTCCATCAGGCACAAAGCACACAGTGTTACACAGTCTGCACAAACTCCAGTTTACAGAGTCTCCGAGGACAACGGTCCTCGCTCTCAGCGCTGCGGGAAACATGAACAAAGGAATAAAAGCCTTTTGTCATCGATGAATATTTCCCAGCAACACGTGTGACAACTGATGAGACTTTTAAACACTTATTTGTTTGTCAGGGTCAAAAAATACCAATAATGAAACAC